CAGAATTGGACACGGTATTCCAGGTGTGGTCTGACCAAGGCAGAATAGAGCATTGGTAGCACGACTTCCCTGGATCTAGACACTAGACTATGCATGCCAAAATCCCATTGTCCACGAGGATTCCAAGATCTTTTTAACAGGTACTGCTATTGAGCCAGGCATCATCCCTCATTCTATGCATTTCATTTTTTTCTGCCTAAGTGGAGTATCTTGCATTTTCTTTTATGAGAAAGAAAGAATTACAAAGGTCCACTGTCATCTCATCAGGGACAATGTATTTCTAAGAGAATATAAAAATATAATACTCTGGGTGAATTCAAATGCCTATTGATTTTTGCACTAATTCTCTTCCCATTACTTTTTTTCAGTGAAAGATTGAGGGAACATGGAGTGCTTTCAATACACAACAACACAATAAAGCATACACAGACAGAGTTCAATGAACAAAAGATGACCAGTTTATTTACTGGGATAGTTATGCATTACACCATAATTTTAGTTGAAACATAATGATGTAAGAACCAGTATATTAGCTTCTAATTTCATTGTTTTCCGTTCTGGACTGTTTTCGTTTCTCAACCATTCAAACTGCACGATCGTCCATGTAACAATACATGATTCCCTCACAAGGAAATTCGCCTAGGATTGTCCACATGTATAAAGACCAGGATGGGAAAGGGCTTGACATGGCAATTTTTTTCAGAGCGTTCAGATCAAATGGTTTTGGAATCCAAAATTAGTAGATAGTCTTGCCTTAAAATTAGAGTTGCAACACAATAAAAGTTTCTAACATTCAGTCTTTAAGTCAATGAGCACATCTATTTGTATTCTCCACCATCTAGAAATACTCCATCCAACCTCAAAAAGGCATTACAACAGAACTTCAATTCAGTTTAGGAATAGCCAACCTTTACAGCAGGCAAATGTATAGTATACAAATTGTGTTTTAACGCAAACTGCACCAGTATTTAAACCCATTTGGATATAACACAATACGTCCTTTCGTGTGGTCGATTAGATAAAGATATTCATGCAAAGGGGAACATTCATAGATTACAAAATTCACAAAACATGAAGATTTTAATTTAATTTTTTTTACAAAGGATCAATTTAGTCAACCTTTTAACAGTCAAACCACATGGTTTGAAGCACTAGATCTATTACTAGTGAGGTGTTGTTTTGTTTATTCAAAGATATGGTGCACAAAGCCATACCCATGAATAAATATTTTGTTAAAAGCTAGATTATTCTTATTTTTCCCTCTTCCTCTCCTCCCATACCACTGCTGGCAAGATTGATTCCAAAACATTTTTGGCAAATCTTCAAAACAGAATTAATAATAAGGTTTCGACAAAACCAAATCTTCGTGTTGCAAAATATCAAAATAATCAGTGCAATTTCTATCAGTGCATAATAACGAACAGCGTATGTACCTTCCTGTCAACACACTAATTGAAACACAAGGCTCTAATTTCTATAGGGTCAGACAGAAAATAAACTCCAATTTCCAAATATGTCATTTTCCCTTTGTATCTTGTCAATTTATCACACTCTCGCCTTCAGATTTAATAGAGAGAATTTTGAAGAACTCTGGAGGAGAGAGATTAAAATGCAATTAAGCCGTGCATCTCTTAATGGGCGTTGTATCAAACATGCATTTCCAATATTTAGGGAGGGGAAAAGAATAATCTCATGAAATAAGAATTTTCTAGCTTCATCTTCGACGTTATGGGAAAGGGTACATGAAATTATATCATGCAAGCTTTTTTTATATTGCATATTTAGATGCATTCAGCCTTGGTGCTAAATGCAATTCATTGCTTATCTTTTTTTATACACATCACGCAGAATATTTAACCCAAACAGTTTAATAATGGAGGGAAAATTCTGAAAGCCATATGCTCCTTTCAGATAAAGTAGATGCACAATTGTGGGGAAGGGGAAAATGCTGTTTTAAAAATAAATATAACAAAATGGCTGTGCTTCTAATGCAGGTCTGCAGTGCTTGGAATTCTGAAATAAATTAACACTTTTATAACCAAAGGAAACAAAATAATTTAAAATAAAACAATCGTACAGCAGTCATCAGTATCAACCAATACCATTTGTAGAATTAGATTAACAGCTAGGCAGAAATATTATAGGCTTCAATAGTACAGGATTGTCTAGTCCAATGGTTCTTAACGTGTGGGTCTCCAGATGTTTTGGCCTTCAACTCCCAGAAATCCTAACAGCTGGTAAGCCAACTGGGATTTCTGGGAGTTGGATGCCAAAACACCTGGGGATCCACAGGTTGGGAACCACTAGCCTAGTGTTTAGTAAAACATTGGCCTCCTCCTGTCCTGATATTGGACATACATCCCATGTTACTAATACTTGTAAAGTCCACTTAATTTTTTTGGACAAAATTTCATTTTGTCCAAAAAAAGTTGGCTAAAAGAAGGTGCCTTCCTGGTTATAAATAGCCAAGAGACTGTATAAGGGGCTTTTTGAATGTTACCGCCAACTTTGTCACTTTCAATCATTCTTATCACTTTGAGATTCCTCTTAATCTTGAGTTTCTAGCAATTCGCCTTTCAGTATATTGATAACCCAGCTTTTGCTTTAAGTACAGAGTAGGAGCTTTCCACATCTAGAAGTATCTATTTTGTTCATAGAGATCTGAATGTATCCCACGGCTGCACAAGACAAATATACCGAGGTCTACATCCCAGGCATGAAAAATGGCACTGAAGATATTGAGGTCCCGCAAAGCCAATCTGCATGGGTTTTTCACCCTCACCTCATTGCTCTTGCGCATTGTGGGTGAACATACATGTGCTTATACTAATCTTTGAATTGGGGTATATTGCTGTTGATATTCAAATGTCATTTACAGTTCTTCCCTTTACAAAGTTTAACCTAATATAACCTAATTATACTTTCCAATATGTTTAATCACCATTTCAGAACAACGATCTCTCCTCATCCACCTCTTCAAATTAAAATCTATGTTATAAAGAAACTGATGTTCTCAATACGTAAACTTTGAGTCGAGACCTCTGACTTTCAGGTTTGAAGCAAGTGTGCTTAGGAGCGAAGTTTCAGGATACAGTCCTATCCGTGGGAACAAAGTCCCACTGCATTCAATGGGGTTTATTTCCTATATTTTTTATCATTCCTAATTATGGTTCATAAGGAAAATTAGCTGTAGCGCAACTAATACAAGAGTGACAATATTTTTCATATTTGAAATACACAAACACTTTCCTCTAACCTGTCCAAACATTCCGAGTTGTACTTTGGCCCAGTTGAAATAACTCTTTGATGGTGTCATAGTAAATAAGGGGCATGATTCATCCGGAGCAAAGTGTTTTTAAAACCTATTGTTCTCCATGGGTAAGAACCAAGTGATCTCTCCAGATCTGTAGGTTTTAAATTTGTGAATTCAACGGACCTCAGATCATCATGCCCCATATTATTAAATGGTAGTAACATGAATGCAAAAAACACTGACATGTGCACATTCATGTCAATACTACTTAATACTAAGGGACATGATTGTGCATTTTTTGTATCTGTGGAGTCTTGGATACCACATAATGTAGGATAAAACAGTGACCATTCAAATCAAACAAATCTCCATGTGGTCCATTTGAGTGTTTACCAACATTGAATTGGGTTGCTGTGAGTTTTCTGGGCTGTATGGCCATGTTCCAGAAGCATTATCTCCTGACATTCTACCCACATCTATGAAAGTTGTGAGGTCTGTTGTAGGCAAGTGAGATTTATATATCTGTAGAAAACCTCACTTGCCTAGTTTCCAAGAGACCTCACAATCTCTGAGGATGCCTGTCATAGATGTAGGCAAAACGTCAGGAGAGAACGCTTCTAGAGCATGGCCAGACAGTCTGGAAAACTAACAGCAACCCGGTGATTCTAGCCATGAAAGCCTTCGACAAAATATTGAACACTGAATTGACACCTCTGCTCCTGGATGGGATTCCAGATCCTTTTAAAGTTAATGTGATCAGCGGTTCACTGGGATGGATGAAATATGCTTATAGCTGACACACCCAGCACACAAGCAGACATTGTCAGTTCATCTGCATAGTAACTAATTTGTAAACACAAAAGCCCAATTTACAGATGTAATTGGCAAACCCAGATGTTGTTAAAATATAAGAATTTGTAGACAGTCTTTCCTCCTTTACAAAAGAATATGAACATTAACATTTGAATTGTATCACAAGATAATCAACATGGAAACATATGAATACGTGCAAATGGCTGTTACCTTTTTAACAGAAGAACTGTACCAGACGCAAACCATTTAAAGTCAGTATATTTCCATTTCATTAAGCCCCTGTGATATTTATCCTTAAGGAGCAAAGAGGATGCTTTCGAATGGATTGTGGACTCCATTGCAGAATTACTTTTCACCTCTGTCTCTTAGAAAAGCTCAACTGCTCTGATGAAATTATAATACATGAATTGCTGATTAGGATAATCCTGTGTTTAGCACCTTGGTTACTGGTTTTTCATGATAATGATTGTTAGGCACAAAGATTAGCCAACTAGACTTTCTGATTTCTTGGCTGACGTTCCTTTCAGATTCAAATGGTTCAGGCAAAATTCTCCCAGCTTCTTTTGATTTATTTCAAAATGGACGCATAGCTTAGGATATTTTGCCATTACTCTCATCCGAACCTGTACAGCAGATAAGGAAACTTAAATGTGCCCAGGCCTTTCTTATTTAAAATGTATTAAGGCTACCTGATTGAGAGCAAGAACTCTGCTAAGAATCCTGGGTAGCATTATCTCTGGGGAACCCAGCAGAAGGCTCAAAGTGATAAACTCAAAGCTTAGCCAGCAATGTGATTTGCTTCTGAGCATTGTGCAAAATAAACTCATCATCCTTCATGTTCTTTATATCCACCGCACTTCCAAAAAAAGCTGTTAAAGGAGGGAATCTTAGAGCAGGAGTACCATGTAGCATGGGGACAGAAACTGTGTATTGTGTATTGTGTTTCACCTGAGTATTTGTCATTGAACTGACAATGAGCTAGATCTCTACAGCTTTTGGGAATTTTGGCAAGGAAAAAATGCACTACAGCAAGAACCTTCCATCCCAGATATCAGTCTTTTTTTTTTTTTACTTAGGTTACCTTCACTTCTACACGCAACTGGAAACTAAAAATTTTGTCACACTTGGTTAACTCTCTTTTCTTACCTTTTCTGCCAAAATAAGGCCTTTAACCTGGTAACACTGAATTTGGGAGCAGCAAGTGAAAAACATCCTAAACATTTCAGTAAAAAATAAACCACAGCATATTTCAAGTTCATTTACAATTGTTTTTCCAAATACCAAACAGAAAAAAAGAACAGCACCAAGTCATCAGCTCATCTGAGACACACACACACAAATAAAAAAGGGAAGGAAAAAAGGAGGGGATTGCCAAAAAATCCCACCTAAAACTGAAAGTTAAACACAAAGAAACCATCATTAATGCATTGTTCAGGAAAACCATTTTTAGGCTCAATCAGATTCCAATGAACTAGCAAAACAATTAGCAGCTAACTTCATATTAGTTATAAAACAAGTGCGTAAACAATGCCAGTGCAGCAGAAAAGTACATGTCAGTGGGCACAATACAGAGAAAGTTAGGCACACCAGAATTCTATTGAAATCAATGGAATTAAAATGTTATGCTCTGTGCCTATTTTATTTCAATGGGATTCAGGCACATCCAACTGTCTCTGGAATGCCCCCAAAGTTCACATTCCAATTCAACTCAGTTTCAACATTTTTGTGCAATTAAGAAAACAACAACAATACCAGGCCACACTCTTTGGCCAAGTGAACAATCTTCGATTGCAAAATAAAAACCCTAACTGGCGAGGAAAAAATAATATTTCTAATGCACCATTTAAAATATTAATAGAATAAAAACACATACCAAGGACAGTTTTTAAGAAAATGTAAACTCATGGTGCAAATATAATTAAAACAACAACAAAAAGACAATGTAACAAATCATAGAATGGAAAACTCAAGTTGGTGCTTGAAAATAGACTGTCAAACTAAGGTTTTGTATCGTACTTTCTTTGTTCTGCTTGTTAGTAGTTTAGGTTCTCAACTCACTAGTAGCACAAGCTGAACGGCTGGGAGGAACAGGTTTTAACGTCCAAACTGCAGACATGTCTATCTGGGTATAACCAGAGGAACCTTGAAGATCTTCTCAACAGTTTGGGCACTGTGCTTTATGTTCTTCCACACATCCTCAGTTGTTGAGACTGCAGATATGTGTCCGGACTCATCGATACAGCAACAAGGCAGTCATGCCTGCTGGTTCCTTCGGTGCAAACTGTACCTTTGCTGTGAGATCTCCGACTCAGTTTGTATTGTGGGGGGTGCACCCCAACTCTTAGGTTGCATATGAAGACTAGGGTTAAGGAGGCGGTTTAGGTAGACAACTGAGGGGGGTACACTGAGAGCTGGAATGTGGCTGTTCTTCTGGAAAAGCTACATCAGGACTGAAAATTAAAAGAAGGGGAGAAATGTTTAAAATGCATGCCCAAGTTGGCAGACAAACATATATGCACACTGAAGGAATCCTTTCTTCTGAAGAGACATAGTATTTGAATACTCTCATTTTTATGCGGAACGTGTGTTGGTGCAATACAGACAATGATCTATTGGTTTAAAAACACAAAAGAATCAATAGTACAATCAAAAATCCCTTAAACCAGCATTTCTCAACCTAGGAGTTGGGACCTCTGGGGGGGGGTCACGAGGGGGCACCAAAGACTATCAGAAAGCACGGTATTTTATGTTGGTCATGGGGGTTCTATGTGGGTAGTTTAACCCAATTCTATCGCTGGTGGGGTTCAAGGGGCTCTTTGATTGTAGGTGAACTATAAATCCCAGCAACTACAACTCACAAATGTCAAGGCCTATTTCTCTAAATTCCACCGGTGTTCAAGTTTGGGCATAATTTTATGGTTGGGGGTCACCACAACATGAGGAACTGTATTAAGGGGTTGCGATACTAGGAAGGTTGAGAAACACTGCCTTAAACCACAGTCCTGTTAAAGGTGGCTAGGCTAATCCAGTCCCTATGTTCAGCATTACACATCTGAAAACCAAGTGAAGATTTTATTTCATTTTAAAATTCCATTGGATTATCAAATAAATAAGGTGAGCATTGTTATCATCTAGTGTACCAAATGAAATACAGTTAAGTCAAGGCTTAGAAATGTTTAGGGAGTTGACATTAAAGCACTACTAACAGGATGAATAGCACTATTATTAGTAAACATTCTATTTTCTAAATGTTGGAAAAGAGAGAAATATATTTTTCGAAATGTGATTATCTTTCTGTCTTTTTCCAAATCATCCAACTTTAAAGTCAAAAAGTTTAAATAACATTGGGACAAATACGTGGGTTATTAAACTCATAATCCAAATATTGAGCCTATTTAAATGAACCCAGTGATACTTTCCATTCTGGACAATGCATTCATAATTATCATTGTGTTTTGCTTTCCCTGGCAAACAAAACAATGCACAGCTTTTCTGACATAGCCCATGGCTAAAGATACTACAGCTGTTAAATTTCTACCCAGGTTGAATATGGTTAAAAGCCACAACAGTTCAAATTTACTTAGCTACTGAATGTTTTCCAGAGGAATTCACTGAGCCTTATTCAGAAAGCTTGAATGTTGTAATGTTTTGGGGTTGAATTGCAACCCCGGAGACCAGGTTTTGACCCAGTTCAGCCATAGAAACCCACTGGGTGACCACAGGTATGTCACACACTCTGTCTCAGAGGCAGGCAAAGGCCTGTGGACAAATCTTGACAAGAAAAGCTGTGGAAGGGTTGTCTTTGGGCTCATCCAGACAGGGCCATATCCCAGGACTTGGTTTGGTTTTTACCAAAGGAGTCCAAACAATGTATCTTGTAAAAAGGATATAATTCAGAATAAACCAATAATAAACCAGAAAGGACTGGGTCTAATGGGGTATTGGGCCTGTGGGGACTCACTTCCGGATAGTGAGTCCCCATTGTCATTCTAAACCTTTTGGGCTCCAGGATCCCAAAAGTCTGGGATGCCCCCCCCCTCTAATCAGAATGGCGTGTAGCCACCTAAAGCCCCCCAATTTAATCCTAAAAGAAAAGTAAAAGGTACCTGGTATCATAACTTGCCTCCTTGCACCCTCTGGGCCCAAGGAAATGACATGCCAGGAGATGGGGGTAGGAGAGTTTTCGTCCTTGGCTCCTCCCTCTTGGCATATCATATCCTCACACCAATAGGACTGACTGGCTGCCCTGACACAAGAAAATAACACTAATAGGACATGAGGGAAAATCTTATTGTGGCCAGGTACCTTTTACTTTACTTGTAGGGGTAAATTGGGGGCTTCGGGTTGGGTACATGCCATTCTGATTTGGATTGAGATGGCATGTAGTCCCTCTCTCCCCTGGGAATACCAGTGGTTTTGGGGGGAGTGGGGATGGAAATCCATGCTGAAGTGGGTTACTTAAACCCACTTCAGAGCAGATTTTGGCACTGTGTGCAATTGCCTTTTGGGGTAGTTGTGACTTTAAGACATTTCCCGTTTATGTAGAAGGCAAGGCTTAGAGCTTAGAAATGAGGTAAAAGCATGCAACAATGGCAACAACAACAACCCAGTTAACAAAGTGATTGTGTTCCTAGGCAATTACTTCTTTAACAGAAAATTTGGCACCAGTAATAATATTGAATGAAAAATGTCATTATCCTCCACCACACAAAAGAACAGTGCTTCAACATGTTGCAGCTAACGAATTAAGCCAAAACAAACAATATGCACATGTGAAATGAAAGAACTAAATTAAGTAAATCTTGCATACAGAATTTTAAAAATGACAGACCACACAGAGACCAATTTAAAGCTTCTTTCAGAATGTGTCCGGGATAATTTGTTCCTCTTTCACCAGTATCTACTTTTCTCATTACAGTGTTTTCATTTCGTTGGCCAAATTTCTGGATCTATCCTTTTGTAACATGCTGGGAGTAGATGGTGAAGCTGTCTCAATTTACTTTGCCCTTTTCTGTTTTGCTGTTCATGCATTTATAGTAAGGGATTTTGGAGTCAGCTGCTGTTTACCTTGCCTGTTGCCAGGAGGCACATACAGCCACAGTAGCATTGGCTGGGGTACAATCCTATTCTTTCCCAGCTTCAGCTTTATTGCATTGTTTACTTTAGACACACAGCTGCACCATTATACCAAAAATCTGTGTATTTTCCATCAGCCTTCTTTTCCCGTACTTCCAATTTCAATGCTGTTGTTTGCTGGTTTGTGTTTGGTTTTTTTGGTAAAAAAAAACCTTTCATTCAGAAAAGATGGGAAAATGGATAGGCAAAATACCCACACACACACCCATCCTTTTAAATCAAAAACTTTCTTAACTGAGATATGCCTGAACATTGTTGCTGGGAAAGCGAAGCTGTAAAGCATATGCTGGATGGTAATACAGTCCAAATACCCAATGTGCTGAAGTTCTCACATGCTATAGGTGAAAAAATATTTTTTCAGTGCTTGCCATTTTAAACATGGATTACATAAGCACTCACAAAACAGGGAGATGCAGACTTATATGGGAATGTTGTATTAAAAGTAAAACAATCCTTTTAAAAAGGTTGACAGACCTCAAACATCTCCCAAAATTTTCAGGGGGGATTTCAGCTCATAATGGCCAACAAAACCCTGCTGGTTTTAAATTTTAAACTAGTCTAACATTGCATGAACCCAGAAGGGAAACAAGAACTTTCTTTTTTTACAAAAAAAAAAAAAAGCCTATCCAAGGGATGCTTGTTACTGTTACACAAGAAGATATGAACCGAGTTACAGAAGACCACTAAACACAATTTCTGTATCTACAAAGTTGCTAGCTAGAGACAAGGTAAAAAAGAAAGAAAAAAGATCCCCAAATCTAGTCGTGTCTGACTCTCAGGGGTGGTTTTCATCTCCATTTCTAAACTTCCAAGGTCATGTGGCCAGCATGACTGCATAGAGCGCCGTTACCTTCCCGCAGAAGCAGTACTTATTGAACTACTCACATTTGCATGTTTTCAAACTGCTAGGCTGGCTGAATCTGGGGATAACAGTGGGAGCTTACCCCACTCCCTGGATTCAAACCACCAACCTTTCAGTCAGCAAGTTCAGCAGCTCAGCGGTTTAATCCACTGGGCCATCAGGGACAATGTTTTATTGAATTGTAATTTGAATATGGAAGCTATAAAAGACATGTTGCAAGCTAGTAGGATGCAATCTGTATTATTTTCATTAACCAAAGGATCATGAAGGAAGCAATCTATTTCAGAGAACATTCAAACACATATCCCTTTTTTCAAGCAGTTTTAATCTCATTTAGCAGAGGCAATGTGCAAATATTTCTATATTTTTGTACTAAGCCATAAAATGTTCTACTCTTCCACCTGTCTATGTTTACATCTACATTAATAATTTGTGGGACACTGATAGGAACCCCTCCACAGGACTATTCCTACCCATTGATTAAAAAAATCCTGCAAGCAAAGGTGAAATTGTATGGGGGGGGAGTGTCGCAAGAGAATGAAGAAACCCCCTTTTCTCTCTCTCTCTTTCGAGTACCATACTGTTATGAGTAAACCCCTACAAACAGGAATTATGAACCACCGCTCTTTGGAAAAAAAATAGCTTTCTTTCCAAATTGGACTTAGATGGATTAAATATTATAGTTTGCTATGTCTGTTTTCTGTTCTGCTATGGATTTTTCAAAAGTTGTCCAACAAGATATGAGTAACTGAACCGCACCCTGTCAGATCTTTGGTAAACATTGTTCTCTTGGAAATGAATTCCGTTCTTAAACAAATATTGCAAGATGTTTCTGCGACAGTGAATATATCCTATGCCGTCTGCTCAAACGAATTAGGCTGCCTTCAGGTCTGAATGGCAGATCACATCTAGATGCAGACTGCTATAAATTACTTAAAATCCTAATACTTCATTAGAACGAAGGAAGCCTTTTCAATCTAGTATGAATATGATTTCTTGTGCAAGTCGCACAGAACCAAAGAGTATTTTAGTAGATTAATCAGTTAGATGAATAAATCATCATTTCTTCTTTAGCATAAAAAGGATTACTGATTAATTCTCAATTTTAAAAATAATATTCATTATTTTGATTATCAGTGAGTTGTAGAAAACCAGTGTGTATGGGAGGGTTTTTACATTCCTCTGCATGCTATTGTCCAGATCTTTCCAATGCTGCTGTTTGTTCAAGAAGAGAGGAAGCTCCTCCTCCTTTCATCTGGTCCAGTTATCAGTAAATATGATGTACACTAGGGATGAGAACAATGTGGATATCCAGATGTTGTTGGGCTATATCACTGAGCATCCTTGGACAGCATAGGTCAGTGGTTCTCAACCTGTGGATCCCCAGGTGTTTTGGCCTACAACTTCCAGAAATCCCAGCCAGTTTACCAGCTGTTAGGATTTCTGGGAGTTGATGGACAAAACATCGGGGGACCCACAGGTTGAGAGCAACTACCACAGTTAATAGCGAGGAGTGCTGGGAACTGCAGCCTAACAATATTGGGGGGCTACAAGAGTCCTACTCCTGATCTACACTGATTAGTAGTGATCCATGGTTGTAGACAGAGGTCTTGGAGATGCCAGGGATTAGTCTGAGCCAGAACTGTTCATTTTTGGAAAAAGAAAATAAGCACAGAAGTATTCAGGGTGTATGCTATTTAAATATACTTCACGCATAACAGAAACCTGACTCTTAAACCTTGTCTTCTTCAGTTACCTACCAGATGGTATCTGCCTGTTAGCCTTCTCTTTTGGACATTACTGCATGCCTTAAACTACCTTAATCTGCAAACCACAAGGCTGCCTCTGTTTTGACTTGCCATGCACAATACTGTTGTCTTTCATATACCTGGAACTTTGATAATGTAAAGCAGGCATCCTCAAACTATGGCCCTCCAGCTGTTTGGGCCTTCAACTCCCAAAATTCCTGACAATTCAACAAGCTTGTTAGGGCTTCAGGGAGTTGGAGGCCCAAACAGCTGGAGGGCCGCAGTTTGAGGATGCCTGATGTAAAGCATAACCTACTGCAAAGGGTTGCAGACCCTCTAAACACAAAGTGGGAGTGTTTTTTTTACTCATGTGGTCTCTCCTCTGTGTGCAGCATGTACAAGAATACTGCATTGTATGGGTATCTGGTGGTTGTGTACTGGTTGTATCTCATTTTTCTGGAAATCCAAAATCTGAAAGATTCCAAAAACCAACTTTTTGCTGGTGCTACCACTTCTGCTTTTAAAGGAATAGGGCTAGTCACACACACAAGGCTCAGTTAGCTTTTCTCAAGAAGCTCTTGCTCCAATTTTTTGACCCAATCTATGTTGCGCTCATCCTTCAACCCATTTCCAGGGCTCCCACCTTGCTGTGTGCCACCATTGGTTGTGCAGAAGGAGAGTGTGGCATGGACTGGCTGAACAGTTGGCGCTTTCCAACATTATTATTAGCAGCCGGAGACATTGCCCCTCCCACAAAACCTGCTTTTTACAGGGGCTTTCTGTAACGACCTGCAAGACCCACAGTCCTACCAACATTCCCTTTTCTCTTTCAAATTTCTGACAGCTCCTTGAGTCAAACTCAGTCATTGCTAGATGTGTAGCTAGCCCTCTTTCCCACCTGAATTAAGAGAAAAACTTCTAGTCTCAAGCATTTCAGATAAGGGAGACTCCACCAGTATTATGAATATACATATATTTATTATTGTTCTACTTGTTGTTTTGTAAATGCAAAAAATACAAAAACAGGGAATAGGAAGACAGAATTTAGATAGGAATGGGAGTGTTAAGTGCATAGGAAAGGAATGGGGAAATGTAGTTATTGCCTGTGACACACTAGTAACGGCATGCAGTGAGGCCCGACAGGAGAAGACAGAAGAGTTAGTACATTACCTGACAGTCGGACAGTCTTGCCTCCTGGCTAGTTGTGAGCCGAGTGGCGGTATGGAGGCAGCAGGCTGCTGACAATCTACAAGAAACTGATAAATTAGACATATATACAAAGAGACGACACAAGGGGTTAGTAAATAATAAACAGACAAGGCAAGTAATGGAAGAGATTTAGTGAGGAATATACAGTCTAATTACACCATGTAACAAAAAAAATCTGTTCCTGGTTTAAAAGTGTTATTTCCTGTTTAATTGTGCGGTACTTACTGTGAAATTAGTTGTTATACTCCAGAAACTCTGTTTTTGTGGCTGAGGATAGTACTATTATTTCCTTCAATCAAGGCACTTTGTAATTTTCCTTAATGAAAATATACAATTTTTAACTTTTATGCAGACCACGAAAACAAAGTTTTTGCAGTTTAATAAACTTTTCCCATGCTTTTATGATAGAACCAATTAGGAAATTACATTTATAACCCAGGAACAAAACTCGTGTTACCTAATTTATGTGCTTACAGGACTTTAAAGATGTTTTTCATGAACCTTTACTCATTTTTTTTCCAATGGGCAAAGTACCTATATATGGAGTCTGATCTAAGTGTGGTGTGGATACGAGTTCAAATTCCATCATGTTGACATTACAAATCAATATCCCTCAGCCTCAATTTCTTATCTCTAAAACTGCAATCACCGCCATTTACTTCATGGGGGTTTTAGGAGGAAAAGTAAGAAAATGAGCTTTTCTAATTTACAAGAATTACATAAAAGAGTGGCTGTCGTGTGTACATTTATATGTACTGAATACAGCTATCCTTTTCAGAACTTAAGCATGCTGACATTTTCCTGCAATGAACTCATACAGTAGTTGGAATATTCTAATTATATTCTAGAAGAACACTTGGTAAACTATTCAGATATGTTATCTTCATGTCAATTTTCAGTGTTTGGAAATGTTATTATTTTTTGGGACAACTCTGAGAATCCCTAGCAAGCAATGGCACTAGGGATTCTGAGAGACATAGTCCATATAAATAATTATTTTTTCCAAGCACTAATGTCATGCTACATTTCCATTTCCCCATACTTCTGATAAGGCACAAATAAAAATGTACTAATCATAATTTCATCATCTGGCAGAAATTATTCAGTCCCTATTTTCATTTTGTGCTACGTTAATATTTGGTTGACTGGTCTCTATAACCCTACAAAACAGAGATATTGCTGTCTGTCTGCAGAGTGTGTTTCAGCATACATATTATTGCAAATCTACATCTTCATATAGAGGAGAGAAAGGATTAATTATCATATTACATTGTTGTCTGTGAAGATTAACATAGAAATGCAAATATATGCTTGATGTGAGAATTAATATTGCTACTGTGTTCCCAGCAATTTTAGTGTGCTTTTGTTTGTTTTCCATGTTTATTCAGAGCCTCTCCAGGCAAGAAAAAGTATCTGAAAGTAACAGGTTTTGCTCCTGTGCAAAACAATATTATTTTGTAGATGTACAGGGTATTTTCCAAATCCCAGATTATTTCTTAGGGGCTGCAGTTAGCACAATGGGTTAAACCGTCAGCTACAGAAAATCTTGCCGACTGGAAGGTTGGCAGTTCAAGCCGTGGGTGGGATGAGCTCCTGCCGTCAGCCCTAGCTCTTCTGCTTGAAAATAGTAATGTGAGTAGATAAATAGGTACCACTTTCATGGAGAGGTAAAAAGGCATCCCTGAGGACATGCCGGCAAGGCGTCCAAGGACAACAGGCTCCTTGGCATGGAAAAATGGAACAACAGCATTTCCCCATGGCCGACTCAAGCACAGCCTCCAAGTGCCAGAAATGAAAAAAGAGGGAAGCCTTGCCTTTGTCTATGTTGGTCTGTCTTTGTTAATTTGTATAACAGCACTGAACATTTGCCATAAATATATTCTGCAATCCGCTCTTGGGGAAAACCTGGGATTACCAAGTTTTCTTCATTCCCACTCTCCAGGTCAGTTTAAATTAACCCAGTGGTTTCTGAAATGAAATGTACCTCTCTATGGCTGTATATTTGTGTTATCTTGAAATTAACTAAATTGCTCACTATCAAGAAAAAATATTTTCCTCAGGATCCAGACTAACAGAAATTGGGGGGGGGGGGAGGAAGGAGAAATGCTAGCAATAAAAGAAAATGATCCTAATGCTTGGCAAATAATATTACAATTGTTAGCAAATAATATTACAAAGGGTACCATGGAAATTGGTGGAAGTCAGTTGTCTGAGTCCAGTTGGAAAGGAGGAGGAAGAACAGAGTGAAACCTGGTACATTCTGAGAAAATCTCTGGTTGCAAAACCATGTTCATGCAGATAAAATCTAAACAAAAAGAACTGGAAAGCCTCAGCACTTCTAGGGACTTTTCCCTCTCTAGAGACTTTATCCCTTACTAGATAAGCCTTCATATCCCCTTTTAATGGCACTCTTTTTTCATCTGTGGAAATCTGCACTGCCCTCCTGTGGGCATATTATGTATGTTAAAGTAAATTACATATTTGGGCAAGGTAAAGACAGAATGTCTATTACTTTGAGAAGGTCTTTTGGAAAGGAAAAAAAATTACACTTCAACCATTTGTATAGTTAGGTAAAGGTAAAGGTTTTCCCTGACATTAAGTCTAGTCATATCTGACTCTGGAGGGTGATGCTCATCTCCATTTCTAAGCCAAAGAGCTGGTGTTGCCCATAGACGCCGCCAAGATCATGTGGCCAGCATGACTACATGGAGTACCATTACCTTCCCGCAGAAGCGGTACCTATTTATCTACTCACATTTGTATATTTTCAAAATGCTAGGTTGGCAGAAGCTGGTTTTAATAACGGGAGCTCACCCCACTCCCCAGATTCGAACCACCGACTTTTCAGTCAGCAAGTTCAGCAGCTCAGCGGTTTAACCCGCTGCACCACCAGGGAGGCCTTTATATAGTTGTATATTCCTTTTTATGGAGCAATATAAATAGGAAGATGTATAATCACATTCAGTACAGTGGAGAAAGGCTGGAAAGCTTTCTTTATTAAGGCAAATAAATACAGATGTTTTGTGAATTGAATTCAACAATGAACTACTTTACATAAAAGGAGGAGAGCTGAACGATTTCTAAATATAATGAGGTATTCTAGTTCATGGTTCCGGGGGTTTATTTATACTGAGGGTTCTATACTGAAATATACAGCACTTACTGAATAAACAATGTGGAACAGTTGGTTTTTAGTTAGCAAAAAGCAAGGATATAGACTCAAGCAAGTTCATGAATATTTAGTATGAGGATATATAAGCGTTTTACAGAAAGTAATTCATAAGCGGACACAGAAGGGAGTATTGAAGGGTTAGGGTGCTTCTGTGTGACAAAGCAAATTTGGGATTAGGAGGAGGAGTTATTGCATGCATGGGGCAAACTTCAGCCCTCCGGGTGTTATGGACTTCAACTTTCACAATTCCTAACAGCCTACTGGCTGGCACAGTAAGTTTAACCCTTGTGCCGGCAGGACTGAAGTCCGACAGGTCGGAGGTTCGAATCCGGGGAGAGCGTGGATAAGCTCCCTCTGTCAGCTCCAGCTCCCCATGTGGGGACATGAGAGAAGCCTCCCACAATGATGGTAAAACATCGAAACATCCAGGCATCCCCTGGGCAACATCCTTGCAGTCAGCCAATTATCTCATACCAAAAGCAACTTGCAGTTTTTCAAGTCGCTCCTGACACGAAAAGAAAAACCCGACTATTAGGAATTGTGGGAGTTGAAGTCCAAAAATACCTGGAGGTCCAAAGTTTGCCCATGCCTGAGCTATAGTAATCACTTGCAAGAAAAACACAAGATCCCATTCTGCATGGCTTTGCAGTATAAAAAGATAGTGAAGGTGAGTTAAGTTGTAGATAATATTCTAAGTGCTGTTCTTCTGCATGTTATCAACCTCTCACTTAGTATTCAAACAATTTAAAAACTTGACTGAATAAGCACTAACTTTTCCACTGAAATCTGTCGTACGCTACATTAGTTTGCATCTGGCACCGGAATATAAAGCAACTCAACAACAATGGAAGCAGTCCCATAAGGTTTTGTTTACATTTTATCACTTATTAATGGCTTCTCTGTATTTTCCTGCTTTTTATTTATTACTTTGCAGTTTGCTGTTCCATGGTGATCACAAAGTGTTCTGTGCCTTTTGACCACAATAGAGGCATATGCACTGAACCATCAAAACTGTGTTTGATTAAATTTTACAACATAGTAGATGTTTGCACATTTATTATTACTGTTAGCACTAAGGAATTCACAAAAACTGGCTTGTTTTCTATATATCTCACATGAAGCCCCAGCACAGAATCAGTCAGTGTCATTTTTATGAAGCTTACAAACAAAGCTCTTTAGCAGGGAAGATAGAGCAACAGCACCCCCCTGTGGCTGGAACTGAGCACAGCCTCCAAGATGCCAAAGACGGGAAAGCCTATATATATATACCTCTATCTATGTACAGTTGTCTGTCTTGTCAGTGTATAATGGCACTGAATGTTTGCCATATATATGTGTTATGCGATCCTCTCTGAGACCCCTTTCGGATGAGAAGGGTGGAATATAAATACTGTAAATTGATTAATTAATTAATTAATTTTTGCATAGATATTCATTTCTAAAACAAAGATTAAGTATTCAAACTACCATCGAGCATGGGGGATCCTTTGTTGGGAGGTGATAGGTGGCCCCGATTGATTCTTGTCTGGAATCTCCCTAGACAGCAACCAGCCATGCTTTGTAGCTGCAAGGTCATTAAATGCTAATCAAGGTGGTCAATTGCAATGTTCACACTTGCCTCAAGTAGACAAAGAGTTCCTTCTCCCACTCTGGATATTCCATAGATATATAAACCTCATTTGCCTCGTTTCCAACAGACTCCTCAACCTATGGGGATGCCTGCCATAGATGTGGGTGAAACATCAGGAGAAAATGTTTCTGGAACATGGCTGCACAGCCTGGAAAAGTCATAGCAACCCAACCACTATTTAGATATAGTAGAAGACAAATAGCCCAAAGGGTAGGTATGCTTGAATTGCCTCCAG